AACCTGAAAGGGCCTTGAAGAAAGGAACTCGGTAAACCAATCCTATGCTATATTCTAGTACGGTGGGGAACAGTYCCTTCAGTAAATATTTCTTCCTTTTTTTCAGTACCCCACCCTGAATCTAGTGGCAGAGAAAGCTAGATATATCATCATCCTACAAAACAATGGGGATTTATGAATTAGAAACACACATGGTAGTCTATAATTGGAATAGTTTCAAATATGAAAGTATAAAAATGTTATAGTTATTTAAGTATTTCTATTCTCTTTGTTTCTATTTCTAATTACACCATACATTTTTAAACTCGTCATTCTGACTAGAACACAAAAGAAAAAACTTGTAAATATCTGTTGTAGAGTTTGGATAGAAGGTACATAAATTAATAAAAATAATCTAAAAATAACTTTCAAAAAGGAAAAATTAATTAAAATTTGTAACTACCAATAGACACAATACATCAATCTTTCAGTTTTTAAATTAATTATAACAACAGAGAGAAATCATGCTGTTTATCATAACACTTGTGAAGCCTGCTTTTCTCTTATTTAAAAATTATTTTTAATAATAAGAATCATATCATCCAGGTCTCAGATTTAATTTGATTGCTAAATTTGCTAAGGAGACACACAGAAGAAAAGCACAAAAGACTTTTCAGACCTGATCCATACAGTCTTGTTGCTTCTGAATGAGGAGGAAAACGCCGACTCAAATCAGGTGAAAAGTGCTGATACATATAGAAAGGGTTGTACACATCATAGCTGGGCCCATGCTGGGCCGAACTGGAAAGTTCCACCTTTCGATCTCCAAAAGATGCTCTGGCAGATCCTGAAAAAAGCATTTCTAATGTTTTAYAACATCGTCTCCTTGGTCCAACAGATGGTACACTCAAGACAAAGGAAAAAAATGTTATATTTCAAGTAATACTAAATTACATGCCTTTGATATCTTTAAAAAATGAGCACACATTTATGAAGTTCTAACTACATCAACTATTGTGCAAGGGAATAGTCAGGAATCTTGCTCTTAAGACAGTTTAGCAAATTTCTGGCATTTTCTCTTTGACCTAGAGACAATTCTGTATTTTGTGATCTGAGTTTCTTTTTATTTTTCTTCTAACATATAGAACATCTTTGAAATGGAAAAAAAAATCTTGGAGATACACCCTCTTCAAGAAGATACAGAACATTTATAAAACTTGACTACATGCTGAGATAAACTTACAGCTCTTAAATTTGAAAGGACTGAACTCAYATAAAGTATGTTTTCTTACCACATGCAATTAAGTTAGAAATTAAATAACAAGAWGATGAATAAAAATATTTATATGGAAACAGGATTACGAATAAGCAAAAAAGATAATCTTTAAGAAAAAAAAGATTTTCTCTATGGGGTTGTAATAATAGAATATTGGGGGCTGGGGTTGTGGGTCAGAGGTAAAGCGTTTACCTAGCACATGCAAGGCYCTGGGTTCAATCCTTAGCACTACCTAAAAATAAACAGATAAAATAAAGGTATTGTGTCCAACTACATCTAAAAAATAAATATTAAAAAAAGAATAGAATATTGCCACAGTGACAGAAAAATAGATCAGTGAAACAGAATAAAAGGTCCTGAAAGAGATACTCATTTTTTGAGTGTATACACTTGATTTATAACTGAGGTAGCCCTGCAGAGCMGTGGGGAAAGGATGGTCTTTTCTCTAAAGTATTAAGACAACTCAATATTGATATGGAAAAAACTATAAGCCTTCTTTCAACCAAATATATTGACAAAAATTAATTCCCTGGGGCTTGTAGATCTAAATTAAGTGCCAAGGGCAAGCAAGTAAAGCTTCTGTACTTGTTAATTTGTAATTTTTTCACAAACTTAGGACAGGGAAATACTACTTAAATGGAACACAGAACATATTAACCATAAATGTATTCAGCTATACTAAAAGTCAAAATTTCCATTTGTCAAAAGACTAAGAGAATACAAAGGTAACCCACAGAGTGGGAGATCTCATAACTGGCAAGAGCTTATATCCAGAACATATGAGGAACTCCTATAAATCAGTACAAAAAGGATAGACAGACCTCAATATAAATTGGCTTATGACYTAAACAGGCAACAACAGAAGAGGTCAACAACCTCATTAATAATGAAAGAAATATGAGTTTAAACCCCATTGAAATATTACCACACAACAGTATAGCTGAAACTAAAAATATTACCAAGAGCAAACACTGACAAGAAGCAATGTAAACAACTGTACTTTGCTGRTGTGAATGTAATTGATCCAATCACYGTGAATAATAGTTTGGCAGTTACTACTAAAGCTGAAGATATTTATACTCAATGACCCAATAATGTCATTGTAGACATATATACAACAGAAATTTCTATGTGTACACCAAGAGACATGTACAAGAATTTATAAATATCATTATCTCTACTAGCCAAAAATTGAAAAAGAACCTCAAATGTAAATAACAGTAAAACAGATAAAAAGTAGTAYATACCTGCTACATAAAAATACCTTCTAATATTCTATACAAAAAATACCATATATTATGCTATTTAGAATAAATTGTAATGTACATTTACATACAGATATGAAAACAAACTAAAACTAACAATGTGAAAGAATCTCACAATGTTGAATGAAAAACATAAACAAAAGAATATWTACTAATATCATTTTGTTTAAATATAGGTCAGAACACAGAAAAAAATTAAACCTCTATTTAAGGGATATGTGCTTAATTGTTAAGAAGAAAAACTAGAAAATTATAATGATTGTGTAAAAACTAAAAATAAAATCACCAGATAATCCAACTATCCTACTCCTAGGTATATATCTGAAGGAAATGAAGTCAGCATACAAAAGACACCTGCATACCCATGTTTACTGAGGCACTATTCACAACAGCCAATATATGGAATCAGTCTATGGACCATCAACAGAMAAATGGATAAAGAAAATGTGGTACATACACACAGTAATTATTAAGGCATAAAAAGAATRAAATCCTGTCACTTGAAGGAAAATAAGCCAGACCAGAAAGGCAAATATTACATGTTCACATGTGGAAACTCAAAACATAATATTAAATTATAAAAAGATGACCAGAAAGTAGAGAAGTAACTATGAGGAGCTGGGAAGAGAGTCTGAGGGAGTAGGGAGAAAGGGCAGGGTGAGAGAGGACACACCAGAGGGTGAATGTAATCCTTGCACTAATTCATTAGGCTTCTCTCTAGGCATGCATGAAAATGTCACAGCAAAACCCATTAATTTGTATGATTAATAAGTGTTCATAAAAATGCAACTCTGATACCCTGGGTGACTGTCAGGAAGGGGACAGGGARGCTTTTGGGTTGCTAGTGATACTCTATTTACCTTGTGCTGTCTGCAGATGTTTTGCTTCCTTTAATAACTTACTATACTATGTGTTTCTGTTTTGTGCATTAGCCTATGTGTGTATGATATCTCACAATTTAAAAATTTCTTAAGGTTAATGATCATTTTAGGAATAAAATATAGACATAAAATGAAGTTTTTCAAAGGTTTATTTTACTGTCATCTTTTAATTCTTTTTGTCCCACTTAAAATGAAACACACGGAAACTGGTATTTTCTGAATTTAGCTAAATATAAAATAARTGATTTTGCATAGAGTTAGGAAGAGAAAAATAAAATACGGAATATGARGTAGGATTTTATCCTCATCCTGGTTCAAATATCTGTTACAACCAAGTATATCTAGCACATGGGAGAGAAGCCTAATGAATTGTGATGTCAGATTCATTACCTATATATCTTATAAACRGACACTGAGATCATTTAGCACACAAACAATATTACAAATCTTTATAGTAACCCAAGYAGCCTGATCATTAGGAAGAAATCCTTCAAATACAAGAAATCCTACAGTAGTAGCACCAAGATGATTTACTAGCTTAAWAAGCTACACTTAAAAAAGAATACAGTATTCTCATTTCATTTTTCTCATTAGAGAAATTCAATTTTTCCCTGAGATAGTATAGAATTTCTCTCAATTTACTAAAGAATAAAACTAAATGTAAAGTTACATGATTGCTCATCCTTCTCAAAAGCCTATTTAAAATTCTTTAAATTTAAAATGCATATTCTTAATGGCTAGGTAAGTAGATATGTGAAAAAACAGAACAGCGCAATGTTAATAGTAATTTTTTTATGAAGGCAGTAAGGTACAGCTATAAATCACACATATTATCAAGAATGAAATCCTGTCACTTGAAGGAAAATAAGTCAGACCAGAAATTATTCCATATACAAAAAAAACTTCAAATATACTTGAATTATAATTTTAGTTGCTATTGATAGGGGTCTACCTTCTCAAAACTTTGTCCTCCGTCTCAGGCCATCACTTGCACATGCACACATGCACACCTACACACATAAGATTAGGTTCCAAGAATACTTCTTGAATCTAAGTAAATAAAGTAATTTTCTGGGCTGTGGTTGTGCCTCAGTGGTACAGCACTTGTCTAGGATACATGAGGCAGTGGGTTCAATCCTCACACCACATAAAAATAAATAAC